AAGCAAATGTGCATCCATTTATCTCCAGCTTTTTGCTTACACTAACCAAAACAAAGTTGGTGTTTTCCTGTGATACGCAAGAGTGATGGAATGCAGAGACCATATTTTTTATCATTTAGCACTAGTTTATAGCTTCCACAGACTTGTCCTAATAATGAAGCTATGAAGGATATGACAAGAATGGTGATATTAAATTTCTCTAGACTAACAGTAAATTTTTCCATTCTGATGTCAAGAATGTAGAGCATCTGGATTCCGCAGTGTGAGTGGTTCAGTACGGGAACACTTTCATCAAATGGTTCACCATTTACTCTCCTCCAAGGAACAAGCAGACTCCTACAGAAAAGAACACTCTGAAAGAAGCAGTTTTCTGGAATTCTGGACAAATTATTTGTCCTGTTGTTTCTGATTTAAAAGCTTTCCGTTGCTTCTTAGTGTTAAATCTTATCGCATGTGCAAAATTAAGTGAAGCATTTTTAAATCAGAATTCTCAGTATTTCATACACTGTTACTCAGATCTAGTAAAATTTTATTAATTAAGGTTAGGAAAAAACGAAGAGACTCTGAAGTCAAGAACTGTCTAAGTGTATTAATAGAACAAAGTGTGAAATCTGTCTATTGCTTTTTGAAGCAGGGACAATGCTGAGGTTTCAAGCATTAGATTTTTCCCTTGAAGTTGTTTCCTTAGTCCAAGCTGGCAGAATTCTACAAACCTTATTTTGCAACCATTTTGTTTTACTGTGTGTATGCAACAAGCCCCAAAACTTCAGACTAGTTTCCCTATCCGTGACAAGCTCTTGTAAATTTTCATTTTAGGCTGTCTGTATCTATTAGGTATCTACATGTGCATATAGGTTATTTCTGTAAAACGGTTATCTAGTCGTTGGTTTTTAAATGCCTGTGTTTCTTTTCATGGAAGAAATAAATTGCATGTGAAAGTGTTGTATATCTGGTATCAATTTATCAAATTGCTTTATTCTTGATTCAGGTAGTTAGGTTTAATAGGCCATCTGAGCACCTGCAAACTTTTCCTTCCTCTCTTCCGAGGGTTTTATGATATTACTGTGTGCAGTGCTTGTCTCCTTTTATTAATATTGCTGTGCTACAGGGATGCTACTTGATTCACATCTTAGTTCAACTTAGACACTGTACCTAGTTTATATAACATGAATATCATATCAGCATACTAGTATCTAAAACTAGGGGTTCCCGTGTTGTCCTGGAAGTGACTCCTATTACCCCACTGGGTTATATGCACATGTTTAATCTAGCAAGAACCTTACATCTTTCCTTCTCTGTTTCAGTGATTTGAAAGCCCAGGGATGATTATGCTGTGATATGATTTTTATTTTCAATTTTTTTTCCCCAAGTTGTAGGACGGGCCGGACTGACTTCCCTTTTTATACCTGGTAGTAGTCTTACATCTCCACAAAGAGTTTAAACTCTTTGTTAATTTTTGGGATGTATGCTCAGGTCATTTGAGACCTTTGAATAAATGTTCTACTTTTAAAAATAGAAGTGAATGAGTTTTTCTTGTGTAAGTCATGTTTACTTTACTGAATTTTGACACCTGAAGTATTTTGATACTAGAAAATCCCAGTGGACCTTTGATTCATTTTAAATATAAAGCCTGCTTAAATTTAGCCAAACTAGACTCAAAATAATGATAATAAAAAAGAATATGAACAAAATAGCAACAGTTTATAAATAAGCCTTTTTCTTTTTTTCTTTTTCTTTTTCTTTTTCTTTTTCTTTTTTTTTTTTTTTTGGTAAGGCTCCTTACAGTGTTGCCAACAGAAGGAATTTAAAAAAAAGAAGAGGTTTTTTTTACGGCTTTTCTTGATTTTTTTGTTTTAAACAACATCTAGAGCCTTTTAAAGAGCATTTTTTGTGTGTTAGTTTAAATTTTAGGCACCCTTCTAAAAATGTGTGCAAAATGCCTTTTTTGATGGGAGATCTGTGTGTACCATTTGACTCAGAGGTGTGAGGAGAAGGCATTGCACTGAGCCTGATGATAGCACGGCCCAGGCCTGGCAGCGTTCAGCTCTCTGCTCCACAGCTAGATCTCATCCAATGGCTTTTAATACAGTTTTAATTTACATCACAGTCCATCTCAGCGTAGGACATATACCTATGAGCATTTTAAAAACTCACTATAGCAACACTTCAGTGTTTCCAGTTGGCACCAAAAGAATTTTTAAAAAATAAATCCGATTTCAGCAGACTGGCAGTGGTAAAAGCAGTGAACAACTTGCATTGCTTGCAATGGCCTTTGGCTCTGGCCCACAGAACCACCTGCGGTGCAGCTCGCTAGCTTTGCAGGAGGTTGGTTTTGATGTTGGGCTAAAGCACAGTCTCCAATGATGAATTTTTCTCTTCTTTCTGTCTACATAATGCTTAGTTTCGAGGGGAGTCTATAGAGCAGGAATGTAGTGTTCCCTGTGTACTGGGTGGCCGGAGCTCTCCTGCTATTGAGAAGAGCTGGATCTTGATTTGTTCTCCTTGTGGGTCAAAGCTATAAACACGGTGCTGCAGAGCTAAAGCAGTGCAGGATTTGAAATGCAACCATAGAATTGGATAAAATAAGTTGGCACCCGTCTAATTTTCTCCTTTTCCCCAGAAAGTTGCATAAATTGGGTAAGTTTCTGTTGAAGCTAGCATTAATGCTTCTGAGACATGAAAACTTTCATTTCCCTGGAAGGGGCAGTTCAGGGATGAATGAGCAAATTTAGCCCATCACAACTCATGGCTATTCATCTGGATGTGGAAACCCTAAGGAATGGAAGCACCCACAGGACTAATCCGTCCTGAATTGTAGGTAGTTCTGTGCATAAAACCCAGTCTCACTACAGGCACCTTCAGTATTATCTTGTATTACTACAATAAGAGTTACCCCATCAAGAAACTTATTTTCACAGGGATTTAGTTATATGAGGTTTGAGAAGCTACATTTACAAACGTAGAATAGTTTCACGGTAGATTATAAATGAAAATTAAGTAGATTTGGTGAACAAGAAAGAAAAAGCTTGTTCTGTTGTACATCTCTTATGTGAAGGGAGTAGCTAAAGTTCATTATTTCTTTCCTCCGAAAGGCATATGTGAATTGTTCTTAAACAGTTATGTCACAGTATAAGCTTGCATTGAGCTTTCTGTTCCATTTTTTAACAACCTCCAAGTTATTCTGAGGTAAGTGTATTTGCAGTAACAAAAGTAGTTCTGCTCTGACATATAAGGCTGAGTGTAAAGAGATTTTAATTTTCTAAATATATTTCTTAAAAATGAAGTAAATTTAATTGGATAGGTTTTTTTTTTTTTTTTGCAATTTTAATGTTTCTTCTTCCTACTTATTTCTGCAGCTGAAGTAATATTCGTGTCATTTTGCAGCTGTTAACTACTGTGACATCCATGCCTAAAAACTGATTTATTATTATTATTATTTTTTTACCCAGTGGTGAAATTCTAATAATCCAGAAGGTAAAAGCCAAAAGTCCCATTCAACTTCTGTTCCTTCAGTGTTCAGTCATTGATGGAATCTTGCTTGGCAAGACTTAGTTTTCTTTTTCTGTCCGTGCAAAATTGTAGTGGTTTGAGTTATATCCTCTTCTTACAGTATTTCTGAAGAATAAATAAGAACAGATTTAAATAAAAGCAAGATTCTAAGAAAATGAATGTCAACCACCAAAAACCCTTGGACCACGAAAAGAATGTATCTGGAAGGAACGTTTTTTTTTCCAGAATATTTTACTGAAAGGCAGTAAAAACATGAAAATGCCCAATAATCAGATCCCGAAGGTGCTGTATGTAATTTTGAAGGGGGAGTGTGGTACCTGGAAAGGTTGTGAAATTATGTTTACTAATAAATATTTGAAGTCGTAAGCTTTCAGGAGATAAGAGGCATAATAACAATAGGCAACCTATAACTTAGAATAATGTTCTTTACTAGCAGAATATCTTGTAAATCTGTCCTTGTGACGAACAGCAGCACTTACTCAGACTAAAAATAATAGCAGGACCATGTATCTTGGATCCCAGGAGACTATTGGTGTTTTTGTAGACAGCAGACAGGAGAAAAAAGGCATTTTGTCCTTTTTACCCCAAGTAATCCCACTGGAAAATTAAACATGTGCTATGAATTGATATCAGCTCATGCCAGGTTACCTCCCTAAAGAAAACTGCTGCAAACACTGTTGCTACATTTCTTGGACAGCGGCTTGATAGCCTGTGTGCATGATGGATATTTTATGCTGCATGCTACTGTGGAACACTGTGCTACTGTCTGCCCCTCAGAGCCTGCTGGTGAGGTGTGCCACAAATAACTGGGAGCAGCAATTGCCTTCACCCTATGGATAATCTTGAATACCTGTGAATTAAAAATATTACTGAAATAGTACTCTGTGTGGGTGTTTCTGGGAAAGCTGCATTGTTTTTGTTTTTGAGGTTTAATAGTGTAACACATAACAGTTCCTTTTGTCTTGCTAAGTGTTCCTACTGAACACGGGATAAAAAAAATATTAAGCAATATATTAGCAAGAAATATTTAGAGAAACCACGAACCCTTTTTTAATGGACCACCCTATCCAGTTTCTGTTCTTTTAAGGAAGTTTTTCCTATTCATGACTCATTTCACTCTTTGGCTAACATCAAGGGAAATGGAATAACGATTAAGCGAAGGAATGTATGTTTTTTTCTCGTTTTGTCCTTTTTTTTTCTTCCCCAAAACCTTTACGAATTTCTCTGTAACCTTGTGTAAATACATATGGATATAGAAGCTCAACAACTGTGACAAGGTAAAAAGTACACTGCTAATACTTTCTTTTTCGTAATTTTTAAAAAATGTTCTTTTTTCATTTTAATTCTACAAGCTAATGTTATGCTGGATACTCCAGACTCCCTATTCAGTTAAAATGACATGCTCCAGGCAGCCAATTACACAGAACTGTTAAGTGAAATTAATGAGATCACCCCTAGATTACACTTTGTGTTTTATTTTCATTTTATAGGTCTGTATGAACTGCTGGCTGCATTGCCAGCCCAGCTGCAGCCACATGTGGACAGCCAGGAAGACCTGACCTTCCTCTGGGATATGTTTGGTGAAAAAAGCCTTCATTCACTGGTGAAGGTAAACCACATTTAAGTCAAATTCTCTTTGAGAAGAGCATATGGAAAAATGTTTTGAGCGCCATCTAGTAAACCAGTGATAAAATTTGCTCAGTGAAAACAAAACAGCCTTGTTTTAACTCTGTTTCTGTCAGAGTGGAAGTTGTTAAATAAGATTCTACCAAAAATACATAGATGATTTCATTTAAGAGTGATGTTTTGGCAGCATAATGCTAATGCAGCAAACATATGTTGTTTGCCCTTGTTTAGAAAAAGAGAGTAAGGAATAGTAGCAGGAAATCTGAGCCTTCTTTATGGTCAACATTCAAGACCTGGAGTTTAGCTTAAATAAATAAATGTTCACAGCAAAAATTAGAAGGAATATATTTTCTGAGGTCAAGTATGGCAACAGTTCAGTAGCCACATTAATTTAAAATAATTTCCTTTAACAAAGTCAACTGAAATTCTAGTAAGCTGTTTCTTTTACTGGCTTGCCTCCATTTAAAATTGTTTTGCACATAAATATGTTGGACTAAAGTACAACCTAAAATAAGTTTGGAAGAATACTTAAGTAAAGTGTCCTGCTACAAAAATGATCAGCAACAAGGGATGAAAGCATGCCATGCAGAGTAACCCCGATAATACTAGAATTGCTTAAAGAAGAAAAATGGGACCAATCAGCTGATTAGAAATGTTCCACTCCTTCAAAATGGTAAATGTGGCTCAGGTCACTAGAACAGGGCTAATTCAAGCTGTAAGGAAATCCTTAGTTCTCAAATGAGTCAGTAACTGGTGGTAACCCATACCATGAATATGTCCAGACTTGAATGTATTGCAGTTTGCAGTTGTCAGTCATTGATCTAGAGGAGGCTTAACACTGAAACTGTTATTTTGATGTAATCTTTTCCCCTCTCTTTCAGCAATCTTACTCCAGAAAAGATTTTTTTTTGATAATGTTGGAACTTGGCCAAGATTTTCAAGTTAGCTGTAAAAGTACACATAAAAATAGATACAAGTACACAAAAGCAACAAACAATGGAATGATGTTTTTCAGTACTCACTTGTCTCAAGAATTTAATCAAAATTTCTGAAGCGTGGTGATTCCCAGGCTTCTTGCTGCTTTGATTCAACTGTCAGTTCAGCTTGCTAAGAAGATCACTGAAAGAGAAACACTGATTATGTTCCTAATGTAGGTTGACAGCAGTGTGAATCTAAGTTAAATGTTAGGTCAGAAGCTAAATTAGTTTTCATTCTGGATTGGAATTTAAAGAAGGCTGTCTAGAACATGAGCATAGATCTGTGAAACATTAAAATTTCAACATTTGTTCTTAATTTTGTATTGAGTCAAAATCTTAACCTTTTGAACTTATTCACATGCTCCCTTTTGTCTCTCTCTGCAAAAGAAAACAATCATAGCACAACTGTAACTATGACACTCATCTTGAGTATACTCTCAGTTTGGAAAAGTTGTGCTCTCATACTAGTGGTGAGTCCTAATTGTTTGTTATTGCAGGATGGATTGTTCTTATTAGATGAAAAAGGCTTGTTCAGGCAGTTGGGAAATTTTGGGCTTCAGTGAATGAACATCTCGTTACAGTTACAAGCAGTCATTGAAGTATTCCAACCATTTTTATTATTTATCTTGTAGATTTTAGGATCAAGAATTAAATAAATGTGTAGTTCCTAACTTGCGAGCAGTTATGTTGAGGTCATATTATGTCTCTTAAAATAGATTTATTTCTTGAAGTTGCATCTTTATTGTTTAGTAGTTATGCTTATTCTTTTATACACCATCCTAATTTTATTCAAAAAACAGTTTTTTTAATTGTAAGGACTAAGGCTTTTATCAGCATCTAGAATGACTCAATGCATGTCACAGGATGCAGGACCTCACTTTTTGATGGTTGTGTTATAGAAAAAAATGCCTGAAGAACTTTCAAAAGGTTATCTAGATCGTATCTGTGTCCCAAGACTGCATCTGAAACATAGTATGTATTTGACCTTTAACTCATTTTAGAAGGATTATTCAATGTACTATCAAGTTTCAGAAAAGGCAGTGAGTAGCTTGTCTGGAATGGAACTGTAAGAGCAAAAGAGAAGATCTCATCTGCCATAGTTTTTCCCTGTTACAAGGCTTCAGAAGTGCCAAACCTTTCTGGGTTCTGGTATCTCACTTGAAAGACTGTTTTTCCTAGCAGTAACTTCTTAAAGTCAACTGTTCTTGCAAAGACAAATGTTTTCAATTCGTCAGGCAGAGAATGATGACAGATATTTCGTAATAAAAAAGAAGCACTAGCTTAGAGCCAAAGATGTTGTGATCGTGGTATGTGTGGGTTTTAAACTTCACAAATTGGAAGAAAATTAGCACTGGTTTGCTACCAATTATGCACTAGCATTTCTCAATTTAAAATAGACACACTGCTTAATAAAAATTTCAAAGCTGAGCATCATACCATACTGTTTAATAATTGCAAGTATAGAGAAGAGCTGTTTTTCTAAGTTTTAAAATGAATAAAATGCTCCAAAATGCTTGAAAAGTAGAAAATGAACTTTCTACCTTTTGTACCAATATTCTAAGTTTTATGGGCATTTAATAGTCATAGTGTTTTGTGTTTGGTTATATGCTGTGGCACATGGTTTGCTACTCTGGCTGTGTTAATGTTGAAAAGGGTAAAAAAACAAACAAACAACAACAGCAAAACAGCCCCAAACCTTGTATTGGATTTCTCTTCATTCAGTACTTTTGGATAGAAATCTTTTTGAGAGCTTGGATCAGCTTGAGCTGTTCTAAGAAGTCAGAAATGGAAAAGTTGTATTAGATCATCCAGTCCATTACCCTGCAAATACTGGATAGTTCCCTACAATACATTCCTATTGTAGTAAGTAAAAAACTGATGCAACTGGTCTTGCTTTCTTTTTTTTTTCTCAGTAAAAGAACCTATTGATCAGATTTTAGTTTGCAAAGTATAGAGAAGAAGGAACTCACAACCAGTGTTGACTGTTGGGAAGAGAAAGCTGTCTCTGGATAGTGAATGTTCAAAGTTTGTCTCCATTTCACTCAGTTTATTACTTCCTTGTCTCATTACATACTTTCTTAAGTTCTATGAAAAGTCTTCAGACTTCTCCTTATTTTTAATATGGTAGAGATCCCAGTAATTCCGTAGAGATTTATAGAAAAGGATCACGAAGAGATGATCCTTTGAATAATTAGGAGTACTAATTTACTTGAAATCTTCACTAGCACATGAGCACTCTGGTTGTGCTGGATTATTAGAGGAACAAAGGTAAATAAAATATGTTTTAATGTCTCCTTTAGCTTATTTTTAGAGGAGTTACAAGAATTTCCATGTGTGCTTACTTGCTGTTAGTGCACTGGACACATATTTTACTGTTTATATTACTAAGCTCCAAGATGATGCTTCTACTTGTAATGTAACCTTAAACATTTTTCATTGTATATGTAATGCTTAAACACTGAGTGAGCCTATCTATTAGGCTGTTACCAAAATACTTTTTAACCAATTGTACTTTGCCAGTTGGCTTTGGCCGATTCAGAGCACGCATCTTTCTTTAGCTAATTCTGTACTTTGCCTGTAGAGGTTGTGGATGTCCTGTCCCTGGAGATGTTCAAGGCCAGGCTGGATGGATCCCTGGGCAACCTGAACAAGTGCTTGATGTAGATCTAGAAGTCAGCAGTCTTTCCCATGGCACGTGCACTGGAACAGACGATCTTTGAGGTCCCTTCCAACCCAAGCAATTCTATGATTCAATGACTATGAAAACAATGTGGTGTTGCTGTTTCTCTTGATAGGGAGGAGATCATACACCTAAAAAGCAGTATGTAGCACTGGAGAAGAAAATAACTACTGCAAAAAGTAAGGAATACCTGGTGAATCTAGATTGATTTCATTGTGACTGCATAGTATTTTGGTGGCTGGCCCTGCAAAACCTTAGAATCATAAAGTTGGAAGGAACCTTTAAAGGTCATGTAGTCCAACTCCCTACAATGAACAGGAACATCCACAACTAGATCAGGTGCTCAGAGCCTGATCTAGCCTGGCTTCAAAAGTCATCAGGAACAGGACTTCCACCACATCTCTGAGTAACTTGTTCCAGTGCCTCACTACTCACAGTTAAAGACTTTTTCCTTATATCCAACCTAAATCTGCTCTTTTTAATATAAAACTTTTTGTCCTTGTCTTCTTACCACAGACACTGCTAAAGAGTCTGTTTCTTTCTTGTAGATCTTCTTTAGATACAGACAGGACACTCGAAGGTCACCTCGCAGCCCCTTCTCTTCTCTAGGCTGAACAGCCCCAGCTCTCTTAGCCTGTCCTTGTAGGAGAGCTGTTCCTTAATTAGTGCTAATTTTCTATTAGTTTCACCTTGATGTGGCTTGGTTTGTAGTTCTGAGAAGTTTAGTATATACTAATGTTTGTAATGTTGATGACTAATATCATTTTCTAAGTAATCGAATCTTCAAAAATAGAATAGACGAAAGTATATCTTGGTATAAATTATTTTTCACGCATATTCAATCAAATGATTACGTAGCCCAATCTTACAATCGTGGTGGTTCTTGTAGAACTCATGGAGGGGCTGTATGGTGCAGCTTCCCCATCCCCACTATTGTCAGACATTCTGCAACTGGCCTCCAGGTATGTTCTACATTAATTGCGTGCATTCTCCTCCCATGTGGTGCATCGTCAAGGTGAATGCTCTTGCCTGAGCATGTGCTCCAGCATCCCCACAATTGGATATTCTTCCCAAAGAATATAGAGGAAACAGACTTGCTTATATGAATTGTTCTGCTCAATTGTGTGCCACAAGTGATTTTTCTGGACTCATTGTTTAAACAGTTGATGAGGATGACCCACAGACTAAGGAAATGATATCTGTGTAGGTGTCAAAGAATAACAAGGGTGGTGATGGGTGAGAAGGATGTATTAGATAGGATGGAGTTGGCTTTCTTCATGTGTATGGGAACTGCTGAGTCATGGCCTGCACCTCTGATTGATCACC